AGAATTTCATGTGTGCCATGAACAGCATGTGCAAGCATGTTTTGGTTTGATCACAGCATGACAAAGATGTCAAGCACAACACGTGTTTGGCTCAAGCGCACTGAGCGTGAAAACTAACGTCAGGGCGGGCGACCCACCCGACCTTCTGACCTCAGGAAATGGCGGACCTCACGCTAGACATAAGCGAAGTGCAGGTGGTGGTGAACTACCCTTTGGACGGCGACGGCTTCTTTTGGCACCATCGAGTGTTGCTGCACCGCGTTGAAGGAGGTGAATGGCTGGCCCTGACTCCCGACTTGGAGATCACTCGACACAACCTCGGAGCGCAACGGCGTCGGATACTGGACCGAGCTGCGCCTTTCCCTGCCGATATTGCGGCCGAGATCTATGCTCATGATCCCATTGGTCGGGCGGCGCTGGCAAACTTCAAGAGGCAGGCCCAGATCCAAGCGGCGATCCTCGAGCTTTCCATTGGGTAATTGCTGAGCCAGGCCATGCGGACTTCGGCGAGATCATCGATGCGGCGTCCTTGGGAACGAGGCGACAGGCCTTGCCTTCACGCTCAAGGGAGTCATCCTGCGGCACGTCTTTGTGGAGCGGGTTGGCGTCAACGCGATGGCGGACTGGCGACGTGAAAAGGGGCTAGATGGAGCAGACGTCCGGCTACTTGGAGATCACCGGGACGCCGCTCATGAAGGAACCGAATGACTCTGACTTCCCCATTGCAGGCGTCAGGGCCGCCAAAGAGTTCCACTTGAGCGTGGCCGCATCGACAGGTGGTTTCCTGACCTACCACTCCGAGTGGCTGCGTTTGTCCGGCGTCTCCAAGAAGTTCAGTGCTGTACATGTACATCGGGCCTTGTGCGAAGCTCTCCGTCTGATGCGCAGCTACGACCAGGTTGATGCCAGCACCCTTGCGACCGGCGAGCACCTGACGCGTTGGATGATCCAGACCGAGCTGGCTGTGGAACGCAATCCTTTGCAACCCGACTACGCTGGCCTGGACATCGTGGACGGGACGGCGCAGCTACCTGATGGACGGGCGGCAACCGCGAAGTTCACGGAATGGGTCTCCAACCGTCTTAAAGAACGAGCCTCACTTTGGAAGCAAGAACGGCTTTATCAGCAAGAGCGACGGCATCATCGAGGCAAAGGACGCGAGGCGGACGGCGGCGACGACACCGACTCGGAGGAGTACGGCGAGGGCAACAAGAAAAAGAAGAAGAAGAAAAAGAAGGGAGAAGCAGCCGAGAAAGGAGACTCAGGCGCCCAAGCGGGAAAGGGCGCCAGTGGCTCGAAGTGAAGCAGCGCGATGGACCTGGCCGAGGGGGGCAAACGCCTCGGGTCCATCATGAACTCCTCGGCTTGTGCAAGCGAATTCAATTTGGGGCAAACTTCGATCCATCGGCGACACGGGGATCCTTTTCCTCTACCGCGACTTTCCAACGCTGGACGGAGTGCTCCTCTTTCTCCTTTTGAACGACTGCAACGGCGAGTTGACGCTTCGGCCCGGACTTTGAACCACCTTGCCGCAGTCCCTTTTGCTGACTCAGGTACAGCAATGGATCATGGACGACCTTCATCGGCGGGTTGCTCTTTATGGCGAATGCCCCGACAACATCACCGAGGACTCCGTCATGGGCGACCTTGGGCAGCGCTCCGACCTGTATAACCAGGAGGCCAAGCACTTAGTCAGCATTGACCTGGACAAGATCAAGATTCTGAAGCGACGCCTGGTCCCAAAGGACGCGAAGACGCTGGCGCCTCCCGAGGCGGTGGGCTACCTCAAGCACTTCGATGAGCTGGTGGAACGAACGCCCCGGGAGATGGAACTTCTCCAAGCCAATGGGGAGTGGAGCCATACTGGGATCCCAGCCTCCGGCGGTCACGGCGGCGGCGACTCGAGCTCTACAAGGCCCTCGACGCTGCCAACCTTTTGGACTTCAGAAGGCGTCGCAAAGCTCGCGTGGGGATCTTCACCGTGCGCAAAAAGGATGGGGCCCAACGGCTCATCCTGGATGCCCGACAGGCGAACGCCTGTCATAGGGCGCCGCCTACGACGAGGCTTTCCACTCCACCGAGTTTGACTGCTTTGGACCTGACTGCCCAGACCCTCGAATCTGACGGCTTTGGCGGCATCCTGGGCGAAGAGGCTCCCACAGTCACCGCCGAAAGCGGTGATGTGGGGGATTGTTTTTATAATTTGCCATCCCAGAGCTCACGGCATGGTTCTGCACGGAGGACGCTTTCTCTCGAGAGCAGCTGAAAGAAGAGTTGGACATTGACGTCGACGCGGTCTACGACGACGACTTTGGGCAGGAGATCCCCCGAAAGCCCGGAGAGAAGGTCTTCTGTGCCTTTAAGGGGGTGCCTATGGGTTGGTCGTGGGCCTTGTACTTTGCGAACGAGATCGTCTGCCATCAAGTGAGTACGTCAAGTGGGCGACCTGGCCACGACGAGATTCGCGATCGACAACCGCCTCCTCGACTCCTTCCTGGGCAACCGGTGGTCGGCACATATGTTGACAACGTGCATGTTTTCGGCGGACGACCGGGCGAAGCTGGTCAAAGGATGGACGCCGTCGCGGAGCACTTCGGCAAGCTTGGGATCCCTTTCGAAGTTGATGGGGTCGAACACCTCCATCACATGGACAGCTTGGGCATGCGGCTCTCCTTTGACAAAGGCCGCAGCACTGCCATGGCTAAACCAGAAAGGGCATGGAAACTTTGGCATGCCACACGAGGTTTGCTTCGGCGACGGCGACTTTCAGGAGAACTTCTTCGCGTGTACTTGGGCCTGGCCAATTTTCACTTTCAGTTGATGAGGCCGGCGCTCTCCGTCTTCTCAGCTTGCTACAAGTTCGCGGCCGAGAACGTTGGACGACGGGCCACGGTATGGCCAACTGTGCGGACCGAACTCCGTTTGGCACTGGGACTCATTTTCCTGGTCGAGTTTGACATGTCGTCCCCGGTCTGCTCTGAGGTCCACATTGGAGATTCTTCTGATCGAGGCTACGGCGTGCTGGCGACGGACGCCACGCGCGCGGAACTTCGACGAGCTCTTCTTCATCACGAACGCTGGCGCTTCTTACTCACTTCGGAGCCGGACCTCTCAGGCGAACACGCTCCCGAAGTTGGCGCTGGTGAGCACCTTGGCTTTCGTGGTGGCACCCCTCCAGCAGGCTTGGGAGGAGGCGCGCAATATGGACAAGACCTGGCAGCCCGTGCGGATGAGGCCTACGCAAACCGGCTCTTCAAACAACGACGGTCTCGACTACTTGGGCCTCCTCTACGGGAATCTACGACGGCGGTGCAGGGACCTTCCATTCCTGATTTGGCGCCGGCGTGGGATGAACCACAACGCTGGCGGCTCATCACCTCAGGACCCTGGAGCCGAGTCAAGGAGCACATAAACATCAAGGAGGCGCGCGTTTGTTTGATGAGCTTGCGGCGTTTGTGCCGAACTTCTCACAGTTGTGGGACCACGGCCCTCACCATCACGGATAGCCTGGTCTCATGTCTGGCTTTGGAAAAAGGAAGAAGCAGCTCTTCAGGATTGAATGGAATATGCCGACGGGCCGCAGCATATCAGATTGCCTGCCATGGAGGTTACGACACATTGCAACTGACCGCAACGTGGCCGATGCTCCATCCCGTCAATGGGGGCCCGACCTGGAGCGCAAGGGCTACCACGCGAAGAAGAGACGAAGCGACATCGACGACGTCACCCAGGGCATCCGTGTTGGTGCCGACCTTGGGCTGGGACCGGCGACGGCGACTCCTTCATCCTCCTCTACGCGTCCGCCTTTGAGCTCCTCGACGGTGGCTTCGACTACGGCGACGGGCTCTACGGCACGGGCGGTCTACTTTCTCGAGGTCTTCTCTGGAACCGCGAGACTCACTGAGGCGTTGGCCCTGCAGAACCTCCAAGTTCTTCCTGACATCGAGGTGCGCAAAGGACGGCAGTTCGACGTGTTGCGACCGGCGTGCCAGAGGGTCATCCTGGACTTGATCCGGGACGGGAAAATCTGGGCGATCCACTTCGGCACCTTGCACTGTGTGGAGCAGAGCACGCCATAACCTGAAGAACTTGCGACACGCAAAAAGAAGCTGTTGGCGTGGCATTAGCTTTGTTTACTGCTAGGGCCATTCGTCTTTGCGTAGCCTACAATGTATACTTCACCTTGGAGAACCCTCAAACCAGTCGGCTTCTTTGGGAATTTGGACCCACTCAGGACCTCTTCAAGAACCCCCAAGACCCACTTTTTCGTGCTGCGCGTGTGTGGATGGGGGGCCCCCTACAAAAAGCCTACTGGTCTCCTCACGAATGTGTTGGCCTTAGAGCAGCTGGTTCGGAAGTGCACACGTGATCATGAACATGTTGCTCTGCGAGGGTCCGAGAGAGTTTTCATTGACGGCAAGTTAATTGCACACGCGCAATCGCACTGCAGGCGCCGGAGCTTATCCTCATGTGCTTTGTGAAGCTTGGGCTCAGATCCTGAAGGAACTTGGCCCTCAGGAAGCGCATGGGCATGCCACGAAGCGGGACACGGTCGACTACCTGAATGGCCTTGAAGCGGCGGCGGCCCGAACTAACCGACACGCTTCTTCGACTTCCGGAGGCGACCTTCAAGCGGCTGACAACGGGACGGACGACCTCGAACCTTTCCTCGTTGACGCCCGCAAGTACATCCGCTCTCACCCCGTCGTCTTCGGGCACTTCACGGCGGCCGACATCGCGGAGCTCGCCGGCTTCTTCAGGCTCTAGGGCAGACGAGACCGTGGCCAGACCAAAGCCAAAATGCAAACCCAGGACACAGCCAGATGGATCCCCTCTGCCTCTACCTGTACATTTGCAGCTACGAACCTTGAAAGTCACGCAGCGCACCTTGGACAGCTACCACAAGCACATCCGCGACTTTGAGGCATGGGCTCGGCAGCACAACCTCCGGGTGAATGTCGACAGGATGGTGGTGCGCTACATGACCCAGCTCGCGCTTGATGACATGGTGCAACCCTCGGCTGGGGCCTACTTGGTCTTTGGACTGCAACTGCTGCGGTGTACCAAGCCAAAGCTGGAGTTTCTTCCTTTGTCCAAGGAGGCCCTGGCAGGCTGGCGAAAGCTGGCACCCGGCGGCATGCGCCTTCCGGTCCCGGAGGAGTTCATCTTCGACTTGCACACCTTGCGCTAGATGAGAAGCATGTCGACATCGCCTTCGGCATGGTTCTGCAGTATGACACCTACCTCAGACCTTCAGAGTGCCTTGAGTTGGGGCATGAGCGCCTGGGCTTTCCTGTGGGCGGCCGCTACAACAAGTGGTCCATCGTGGTGGCACCTTTCCAGCTGGGCAGTGCTACTAAGACCGGCAAGTTCGACGACTCCGTTCTGGTGGCCGACAAGCCCGACCGAACTTGGCTCACCAAGGCGATGGACTTCTACGTGCAGCGGCATCCAAACCGGCTTTTTCCTGGACTCACGCTGGCCAAGTATGAAGCATGGTTCAGGCAGGCAACCGGCAAACTTCGCTACAGAACTCGGTGCGTCATGCCCTACATCCTTCGCCACTCTGGAGCTTCGAACGATGCTTTCCACAAGAGGCGATCGCTGCTGGACATCCAGAAGAGAGGCAGGTGGGAAGCAAAGAAGTCAGTTTCTCGATATGAGTAACATGCTTTGTTGCTCAAGAGATGGGAGCAAGCGGCTCCGGATCGCCTGCTGGCCATCCGTCGCCGATCCCAGACACTTCCCTCTCGACTGTTGCAAGCGCTGCGATGATCGGTGGAGACACCACTGATGGGACTGGTAAGGGAGAGCAATGCCATTACGGGGCAAGAGCAGAAATTGCTCTGGCTCCACATGTGGCTTCTTCTTTGCCTTTCAACTGGGTGCCAACAATGGCCAGCTGCAGGCATTGCTAACCTACGCACGTGGCAAAATGGTGGGCGCTGAGGCCAACCAGGCCTGAAGGGTTTGTAGAAGTCTTGACATGTGTAAACCTGCAGGGGCCGATCCTTATGGCTTTGTGCCCGTCACTTGCATACTCTCCAGCTCATTTCAGCCTCCCGGGGCCAACCCAAGCCTATCTGGGAGAGCAATGCCATTACGGGGCAAGAGCAGAAATAGCTCTGGCTCCACATGTGGCTTCTTCTTTGCCTTTCAACTGGGTGCCAACAATGGCCAGCTGCAGGCATTGCTAACCTACGCACTTGGCAAAATGGTGGGCGCTGAGGCCAACCAGGCCTGAAGGGTTTGCATATAGTTCTACAGAGAAACACAA